GTGGTTAGCCACAATGATGCCCACTGGGGACCAAACAGCGAGAAACAAAAGACTGCAAAGCACACACAAAAACACGTAGGCCACGTCGCACCCGCCGCGGCGGCAGGCACCCCGACAACGCATTGATGGCTTCGGATGGTGATGTGAATGTGTTAGGCATGTCGCGGTGCTGGTGCTGGAAGGGGAAAAGAAGCCTCTGGAGGCCCTCTCAGTTACTTATTCTTGGTGATATCAAAACGCTCCTCACTGCAGCGAAGTAGGAGTGGGTTTTTCGATATTCGTTCAGAGAGGATGCTCAGTGTCGAACAACGGACAGCGACTTCGCGTCTGGGCTGGAGGTCTCCCGATTATTTTCCTTGTTGTTTTCTTAGTCCTGCTATCTCCGATAACGTCCATGTTTACGTAGATGAGGTAGACATTGCATCGGGAACAAGGGAGAAAAAAAAAGGCGCGCGAGACATCTTGAAACGCGATATTCGGATTTGTGCTAACGCACTTTCGAGAGCCTGCGAAGCGGTATCCAACTTAGTGATCTCTTCTTTCATTTTCCACCCTGTCATACTTTCTGCGTCTCACTCCTTCCCACACATGACATTGGCGGCAAATGGACGAGATTGAGGTAAGAGATTTTGCATTCAAATCCCATACTCCGGGGAAGAATACAGCGGAGTTGATGCAAGCGCAGTATTCGGAGTCGATGAGTCAAGTTGAGCTGGGATGAACAATTCAAGACTTGGTTGTAGTTCACCAATGATGACGGGAGCGTCGTGAGGGGATGTCCATGATACGAAGCCGTGGTGTTGACTAGGGTCACTAAATGCCCTGAGCCTAGCGGGTTCGGCTTCGAGACAGGTAGGAACTGGTGTTGGTGAGGGAGCTTATCTCGCTCAGGGTAGGACCTCGTAAAGAGCTGTTTGAAGTCTGGTGTCGATGTTGGGTTGATTCTTTTGCGAAAATTTGGCGGGGGATTTGACGGCATGTTTGCAGACTGCTTTTCGAGCATAGTGGGTGATAATATTGCATGTTGTTCTTCAATAATTTCGGTGTGGGATGGGGTGGAATTGGCCTCGGCCCTGGAGCTTCTCCCGAAGCTGGGTGAAAGTTGATCCCAGCTGGTAACTTGATGAGAGAGATGTTGCGAAATGACACGCCAGTGAGCTGAGAATCATAGGTGGAATCGAGAGCGTCAGCCCTGGAGCTTCTCACGAAGCTGGACGAAAAGTTGATCCTAGCTAGTAACCGGATGATAGCTGGTAACCATACGGGGTATGTGATCAATGTTGAAAAAAAAAAAAAGAGCAGTTTCATCTCTCTTCAGTCCGCACTCAATTCAGCGTGCAGAAGCGGTCGCCGCAAACTAGGAAGACACGCATCCCGTTGCCTGCTGTTTGTTGCTCTAATGTCGGGAGGAGCTGTGTCTTCCTCCACATTTGTATGACGCGTGAAGAAAGCAAGATGAACGTGGTCTGTTCCACAGATCTCCTCGGTTGATGAACCTTTTCCCAGGATGTATGCATATACCGGAATAATGTAATCAAGGATTGTCAGTGAAAGTCGTCCAGTCCAGCTCCCCGATCAGGTGAAACAGCATGGCGGAATAGCGACGCGTGGAGATAGAAGCCTTTTAATTTTGAAATGGAATGCTGGTTTTCCCCTCGTTACTGCGGCCTGGATTTTGTGAAATGCGGGATCCACTTGGTATCCTCCAAGAGAGATGCTCGAAACGTGTCCCTAAACTCCACCAGACTCAGATGGTGTACCAGGACTTCTTCTTCTTCTTCTAAGACGTCGGAATTTACATTGATTTTCGGATTCAGATGATCAAGCCGGGACAGCCCATCGGGCTAAGGCGTTCGACTTGCCCGGACGATGTCGGATATCGAGATCGAATTGGTTGAGATATTGCGCGGTTCGGATCAGCCTTAAATTTAGCTTATCCGGTGACGATGAACCCAAGTGGGTGTGCTTTGCGAGATCAGCTGTCGCCGAATGATCGGTGAAGATTATCGGCGGGATGGAACTTCCTTCGACCAAATGTCGAACTTTACGGATAGTCCATGCCAAACACGCGACCTCCAATTCTGTTGGCCAATATCGAGTCTCGGCCGTTGAACACAGCTTGCTTAAATACATCACTGGTTGAATGGTATTTCGAGAAGCGAGAGGTGCGCTCCACTCCTTCTAAGTCCCGGGGAACTCATGCTGAGGAGAAGATGAGCAGGGAAATTTCCACCTCGTGAAAGTGGCTGGTTGCGAAAGTGTGCAGACTCGCGTCGCAGTGGTAATAGCATCGATGTGAGGAATGTATAAAAGCAGACGAAGACGGAGTCTCAGGAGGAGAAACTGCAAACGCCAAGGTCGATGGTGTTGACCACGGTTTTGACCTGCCGGTGCAAGAAAAACGTGGTCGTGGTCGACTCGGAGCAAGGATGCAACAGGATGCAGACATTTGTTTTTTTGAGGGCGCACACCAGAGCCAAACAAAGAGATCACCAACGGGATTCAGGAATCAACCTCAGAAAGCTTCCAGTGTCTCGATGTTCGCTGTGAACCTCAGTGATTGCATCATTATGGGGTACCGATATTCACTCCCTCAAGAACTGAATGTCTTCAGCGTCGTCTGTACTGAGTTCAGCTTTGACGGGTCTCTGTTTCTGATCGAATGCTCTTTGTATCGAAGGAGAAGTGACGGGTACAACACTTTGACACCGTCCACAGCAACCGTCATAATTATTCCCTTGAAAATCCGTGGCCCCGATCTGCTGGGAGTCGACGACATCGACCGTGCGATTCTTGCCGCGTACTTGCATCCACAGATTCCTCGATGAGGCAGTAGATGTAGGCAGTGTCCGGAGCATTCTGTTAGTACTGACTACAGCACAGCCAAAAGTCATGCTCCGGAACAAGATTTTTTTTTTGCGTCAGATAGCCTGTTCGTCAGTGCCGTCGGTCAGATTGCCATTCTAAAATCGTCCGGTTAGATAGAAACTGCCCAGCCGCACTGCAGCAACGTTCGGTTCGATCAGCTGCGGCGATGTCGGAGTTGCGGAAAAACGCAGCAGCATACCGATCGGTTGAGAGGACCGAAGAGAGAAAAAAAAGATTTTTTGTTTTGTTTCTATTGAAACTTGCCATCGTCGAGGCAGACGCGAGATGCGAGGAAAGTCGAGCATGCCTCGCGTGATGGATTTGTCTCGATGCATTCATTCGACGACAATCTGCCTCCATCATGGAGTGAATAATGTTTGCTGGTGATAGGAAGTCAAATTCCCCGAGTATAAGGCTGCGAGAGGAGATTGTGTGAATGTATATACGGCTTCATGTTTGGGCCGGTCGGGATCCAGACCGATGATGATGATGCATCCTTCGCCATGCAGCCACGATTATTCGCATTATACACTGAGCATGAATGAAAAGATGCGTGTACTGCTCATTGAGGAGACGATTCATCCGGTTGCTGGAAATTTTTGACACAGGGATGTTGCATGCGGGCCTTGCTTGGGGCATGCGACGAGGACATTTGTATGTCTCTCACCGTGTCGTGTGAATGGTGTCGAGGCTTGTTGAGAGTTGTCGCGGGTCAGTTAGTTGAGGAGCATCGTCGAAGACACGCTCAACTTTGAGACCTCATGAGGGGGGATATGCCTCGATCGCTTTTTCCATCAAGTATCTTCATGGGTTTTGGAGGCAGTTGCCAACTTGTAGGGTTGTTGATGCCACGTGATGGAAGTCGCACGTGGTGGGAGATCCACAACAACCATGTGCATTCACGGGCAGCTGGCAGCCACGTGGTGGGAGACCCGCTTGTTACTGAAAAGGAAATTAGCATGTTCCAGCGAGGGTGATCGTCATGACGACATGGTACTTAACTGCTGTACACGAACAAGGTCCCAGCCGCCTAGATACAAGCGTGGCATGGTCACCTGGCAAACATGTCTGGAGGGTTGGGATGACCAGGCATGGATGTGAGGCTTCCACTCTTGACAGAGAGGATGGTCAGCCAGCCAGTATCAATGGAGGAGCATAAGCATAAAGGGAAGAGTAGACATACCAGAAGATGGAGTGCTTTCCTGAAGCACAGATGTCTTCTGCTGTCAAGGGAGCGACAAGAAGAAGATGCAGTGCACAAGCTGAAGTACTTCAAGCACAGCTGTCTCTTGCTGTGCAAGGGAAGACAAGAGTAAAGAGTAGAGGGTATGATAAAGAATGCAGCATGCAAGACACCTTGTGTGATATATCATACAGTATAGTGAGCATGTATATAGGAGGTGTGATGTGGTGCGGTTGGTATATAGAGAAGAGTAGTGAGAGATGAGGTATATGGAAGAAGAAAAAGAATCAGAAAGGATCGAGGGGGGAGAGGAGCTGTATTTATAGACGGCTGGGAGATCTATGTGAGGCCTCGCTAAGCTAAGCGAGAAGTCGTCACTGCTCACATGGGAGGTCGTCCCTGTTCTCCTGGATTTAAAGTCTCGGCGTGAATTCAAAGGATGCTACAGTATCCTTAAACAGAAATGCTACAGGATTTAAATATCCACGGCTACAGACAGAGACAATATCCTAAAACGGCAACCGCTACAGAATCATTCATGGCCAGACGGAACAAGCCAATGGGAAGACTACATGTGGTGACGAACCAGCATCATCGGTGGCTACCGGGTACCATACAAAGAGGCCGGACAGTGACGATGAGAAACGGCACAAGCCGGTAGAAAGACTACATGTAGTGACGATCCAGCACCGTTCAGTGACGACTGCAGTGACGGAAGACAGCCGGCTCGAGGATAGCTTCGAGGGAGCCGGCTTCGATGAGCTCTGCAATCAGCCCGAGATTAGGCCAGTGGATGGTAGCTAGATGACTACGAATTCAGCCGAAGGCGTTCTTGTAGTGTACGTAGACAGTAGACGACTATCGGAAAGAAGCTTGTCTATATACTCGTAATTTATGCTGGCTTGCTCTGTATCAACAGAAGATATGCTCATTACTTCCAGAGGATAGACTAGACAGCCAGCTTCTCCATAGCCTCCCTCGCATCTTCGCCCACAGACACCTTGTCAGCATCTTTGCCTTCAACAGAGCCATCCGGTTGCGCCGTTACCGGGCCCTTGCCGCCCGGGTAGCGAGAGCCCTTGTCCTTGGGCTTCTTCTTCTTCTTCTCTGGCTCCGGAGGCGGCGGGTAGGCCTTCTTCTCTACCTCCTGCCACTCTTTGGAAGCCTGGAACTCCTCCTGGATCGGAGCCAGAAGGTTGTTGAGAGCTTCCGTCACAGCGGCCTTGAGAAGTTGTGGGGTGAGCTAGATAGTGTGTCAGTAAGCATGGAACAAGGAGATAACCGCATAATTGAGCCCGAAAGATTCAGTACTTACTTTATCTTCTCGGTAGTCTGCCTTCAGGTCTTCGATATTCGAATACTTCAATGGCTCCTCGCCCTCTTTCCGGTTGACCACAAACTCGCCTGTGCCGTCATCCCTGCTCAGTGCGCTGACGGGCAAGAGCACATATTCGACGAAGCTGATGATGCCGTTGCCCTCCACCTCTCTGGGGGCGGCAAAGGCCTTCTTTATCTTCCGTTTCACCGCGTCCGCATTGTCGAGAATGTCGATCTTCGAATCCGGGTCCGAAGAGGACATCTTCCCTCCTGCCAGACCGGGGACCATCGGGTTCATCAAGTGAGCCCGCTCTTTGTATCCGATTCGGGGCAGCGTCTCCTGGGCAAGGGTGAAAATCTTGCGCTGGTCAACACCGCCGAACTGTGCATCAACACCCAAATGCTCCTCGTCCAAGGCCTGCATGAGAGGGTATATCAACCCCGACAGGGGAGCATTTTCCACCTGCTTAACGACTTCAGCACCGGCTTTCTTAGCGTCGTGTTCCGTCACCATGCTGCTCAGCCGGAAGATGTCCATGGTGTATTCCTTGGACAATTGGTAGGAGCTGCCGAGGACGAATTCCAGCTTGTCAATGGGCACATTGAGTGCCTTTAGTAAGGAGGTCACGACAAAGCGGTAGTACTCGGCGCGGTAGTTCACGAGCTCGATAGGCGCTTTGAGGTTGTCGAGGAAGGCGTGGATATCTGCCAGCAGGATCTTGACACGGCATCCGGCACGCAGGAAATGCGCCAGCTTTACCATGGGGACAAAGTAACCGCAGTGAGGACGTCCAGTTGTTGCCGTACCTAACAGTACCAAGAATTAATCATCAGCTAATGCTATTCCATAGAGCGAACCTGCGGTGTGATTTTTTTTTTGCTCCGATGATGTAACAACCGACGGAGAGGGATCCTACTCACCCCAGTAGATAACCAGGGGCCTATTCTGCTTGATGATGACATCTTCCAGGATCTCCGGCTTCAAAACCTCCTGCAGCTGGGACGTGATCAGGTCCAGCTTCTCCTGGGGACTGAGTTCACGGGCCATGGTGACGGACTGCGGGGTAATCGGGCAACACGTGCGATCGGAGAGCAATCCACCGGACTCAAGCCGCGGTCCTGGAAGATAACCTCAAAGCCAAGTAAAGATTTAACCTCAATTGGTCCCGCCGGACAGAGTGGAAGAGAGCTCAGGCGGCCTGCAGGAAAGAGGATTGTCTTCTGACTCAGTGGTTGTGTTGGCGGGGGATTTTCGCAACATTCTGCCGCTGCCGCCTCACCGCCTTGACTGCCACAGGTTGCAGAGTCCATAACAGCCACAGATACAAATTACGGAGTAGACTCGATTCTAATCATAATTCTGTACACGAGAGAGATCTCCTGGGAGGAGACCTTACAGCATGATTGAGCATAGCATCGATCTACCACTGCTTGAACTGTCATGCGGCGTCACTTGGGCTCGATTGGCGGGTCAGAAAGTGGTGCACGAGGGATATATATAAATCGTAGTAATTCGAGAAAGCAAAATCGATGCAACCAAGCGTATCATCCTATGGATTACTACCCTAGCGGACCAAAATTCGAATTCGCATCTTAAATCTTCGTTGCAATCGCTGCATATAAAGATTCCATCCTAGAAAAAAAAAAGAGAAAAAAAAAATTAACTGGGAAGAACATGTGAAGCATCCAACAGCAGACGTCTGCTAGGGACAATCAAGAAATCAACATTTGGCCGATGGATCTCAGGCTTTCCAGCAGCTGTCGGCTGAACCAGATTCTAGACGCTTCGAGGCTCAATCATCCTGCATCAAACCATTCATAAACGTAAGGAGCACTTTAAATCCTGTCTTCCGTCGGCTGATTTTTAGCTGTACGAGTACATGTACTCCAGTAAGGACTGCAACCAGGCTAGCGGTAGGGGAGTACGGAGTAGAGATCTGCTAAATCGATAAAGTGGCTAGACAGACCAGGCCAATGACGGAGTGAAACATGGCTGTCCTTGCGTGGGAGTGCAGTATTTAGAAAAAAAAAGGGAAAAGATGAGGCTGGAGCGTGGCGCTGCGGCTAGGGCCCCACGTGATCCGCCCACCTTTCCTGCCTCCCGATTTTTGCAGCCGTCCAGCCAATCAGCTGCGGGCGGCCCTTCGCCTAGCCGCCGCCTAAGCAAAGGCGCCGGCAGGGGAGTTGAATTATCTTCAATTATTGAACGCCAGGCTCATCGTCAGCTCGTCCAGGGCAACGTAATCCCTGGCCAGCAGACTGCGTGTCTGCTGTGGCAGGATGCAGCCATCCAATGAGAAAAGAGAAGTGTGCGACTAGAGCGATCTGGTCAGGTTTCACCGGTTGATCGTCTCCGGTGGAAGAGCCTAATCTTGGCTCTAGATTAGGTACTGACTACACTACATGTACTGTACGCTGCCAGGCGGTCAGCCGGTGGATCCTCGATAAGCCTCTATCGATAAAGAGGTGGTTGGGGTGGTTGTGCTGGTGAAGCTGGTCGATATAAACCATCCCAGCTCGCTAGCAGCATGATGGTGCTCGATTCACTCGGCAATTTCATCGTGACTCAGTCCAGGACTGAGCAGACTGACTGAAGGTCTTGGAAATATTCTTTTTTTTCCGGAGCTCATTGCCATTGTCTGCGATTTACGGTGTATATTCTTGGGCGACAGCGGTGCTTGCAGAGGCGAACGGCCTCCCTCACCTGACCTTTCTCTCCGACTTCTTCCCTCCACGCAAGATGCGATTCTCTGCAGCTGCTCTCCTCTCGTCTGTGCCACTCATTGCGGCTCAAACCTACACGAACTGCAATCCGCTGCATACCTGTAAGTTGCTCAATTGACCTTCCATTGCCTCTTCCAGGCGAAGTCGGTACTGACTGCTCCCAGCTTGTCCTCCAGATCCCGCGCTGGGAAAGTCGGCCAGCTTCGACTTCACCAAAGGCGCCTCGGACCAGTGGACGCCCAGCGGTGGCACTCCCACGTACGACAGCAGCAAAGGCGCCGCGTTCACCATTGCCAAGCAGGGCGATGCGCCGCTGATCACCTCGAAATTCTACATCATGTTCGGCCACGTCGAGTACGTGATCCAGGCCGCTCCGGGCACGGGCATTGTCAGCAGCGCCGTCCTGCAGTCGGACGACCTGGACGAGATCGACTGGGAATGGCTGGGCGGCGACGACAGCAGCGTGCAGACCAACTACTTTGGCAAGGGCGACACCAGCACCTACAACCGCGCCGCGACGTACTCGGCCCCAAACAACCACGATGGCTTCCACACGTACGCCATCGACTGGACGGCCGACCATATCGTGTGGCAGATTGACGGCACGACGGTGCGCACCCTCACTCCCGAGACGGCGGACACCAACCAGTACCCGCAGACGCCCATGATGATCAAGGTTGGCATCTGGGCGGGCGGTGATCCCAGCAACCCGCAAGGAACCATCCGTAAGTTTCCCCGTTTTCCTGTCTGGTGGTCTTCCCAGCTGACAACTGCAGAATGGGCTGGCGGTGTGACGCAGTACGACCAAGGTCCGTTCACCATGTACGTCAAGTCGATCTCGGTGACGGACTACTCGACGGGCTCGCAGTACAAATACACTGATGAGAGCGGCACCTGGGAGTCGATTGAGGCCGTTGGCGGCAAGGTGAACGGGAACAGCGGCGCGGCCGTGTCGGTGGCCACGTCGGCTCCAGCGGTCACGGCCACTCCGGACAGCTCGCAGCCCATTCCTTGGAGCGGCACGCATCGGGAGACGTCCAGTTTCTCGACTCCCAGTATCTGGCCCTGGGTGCCGGCCGCCTCCTCCTCGTTGACGGACACGATCCCGAGCGGTTGGCCCAGTGCATCGCCGCCCAGTGCGGTCTCTGTGAGTAGGGATTCCCTGGTAGTTTTTTTTTTGTCTCGTGAATGAGGACTGACCGGCTGTCTTTTCTTACAGACAACCTCCCCATCTATTACCTCGTCTTCTTCCTCCTCGTCGGGTTCCTCTTCCCCCTCTGGCGGTGAGACGGCCGTCAGCTCACCCTCACAAACCACCGCCCCGTCCAGGTCAGGCCAGACGACGCTGGTGACTTCGGTGACCACCGCTTCTCCGCAGGCATCAGGCTCGACGTCTGCGACGACGTCTGTCCCTCCGGCGCCCGCTAAGAGTGCGGCAGCGAGCCGGCTCGAGGCTGCGCGGGCTGCCGCTCTGTGCGCAGTCCTCGGAAGCGCATTCCGTCTGTTGATTTGAGGTTGAACTCAGACGGCAGACGGACACTCTCTGGCATGGATGGCGTTTGGATTGGACGGGTTGGATTCTAATTAAGACGGTTCCGAGCGAGCAACGACTGGCTGGGAACTGGTTTCTTTTCTTGCATCTATGATTTGCATTGCACATAGACTTCTTTTCTCTTTTCTTTCTAACAGCATGGATCGGCGTTATGATGTGATACGGAATGTTCGACACGACCAGCTGCATGATATGATCGGATGGGTTGATTCCTCTTTTGCATGGTTTATGTGCATATGATCGCTGCATGTGTTGTATAGAGTAATGGCATAGAGATCGGAATTGACTGAATCAAATCAGAGCAGATCGTTCTGTACGCGCATACCTCAGCAACACGTCATGTGTGAGCGACTAAGGTTCTCGGGAGCTGCCGGATCGAACATCATTTCACCCAGCTGCCTTCGACGTGGACAATGCCAGTTCCATGCTTTCCACAGAGGACCAAATCTCGAAATGATGACGAGAATACTCCATCACCTACGCCCGCTCCGCCGTGCAGTCCCCGTCATAACCTCTGCAGCGGACACGACCAACCAACTCGCATACTCAGGTGGAAGTATTCCTCCTCCTAGCCTAAAACAATTGACAGCTTGAACATCGCCAATTCATTCAGTCTAATCAAAAAAGCAAAGCAGACACGGTAAACACACACATTGACCTTGCCTGAACTGGCCTAAACCGCTGAACTAACCGACTCACCATCCAACGCAGGCAACATGGATGTCCCCACCAAGATCACATCCAAAGTCTACCTCATCCGCCACGGCGAGACGGACTGGTCCAAGGCCGGCAAGCACACGTCGCGGGCAGAGGTGCCGCTGTCCAAGACGGGCGAAGAGCAGGTCATCAAGGCGCGCGACCACTTTATCGGCGAGGGGAAGCTGATCGATCCGGCGGATATCAGTCGGATGTAGGCCCGTCCTTCATTTCTCGTGTAGCGATTGCTACTTGTCTAACTAATTCATTGGGTGATTTAGTTACTGCTCCCCCCGAGGCCGGGCACGCCGGACATGCGAACTGCTCAACCTGGGCCATCACGGGCGTCTGCTCTGGGAGGAAGAAACGCCCGAGACGCCCGGACGCACCAACCTGCAGACCAAGGTCGGCACGCCGGTGCTGGTCACGGAGCGGCTGAGGGAGTGGGACTATGGCGACTACGAGGGGATGACGATCAGCGAGGTGCACGAGCTGCGCAAGACGCGGGGGCTGGACAAGGACCGGGAGAACGATGGCAAGACGTGGAATATCTGGGTGGATGGATGTGAGGGGGGAGAGTATGCCACCGTCTCCGTTTCTGTCTCTTGACATATACTCTCTAAGGTGGTGGTGTTCTGACGACTCGATCTAGATCCCCGCAGCAGGTATCGGACCGTCTCGACAGTCTGATCAAGGAGATCCTGAAGTTCATGGAGACGGCTGGACCGACGCCCGGCGGCAAGACGATTCCGCGGCCCAAGAACATCATCTGCATTGCGCACGGACACATCCTGGCCTCGATGGCGCTGCGATGGGCGCAGCAGCCGTTGAAGAACGGTATGCGGTTGCTGATGGAGACGGCGGGTGTGGCTGTATTGGGGTGGGTATAGTAGTCAAAAAGTTTTTGAATGCATACTGACGAGAATAGTTTCGAGCATGACGATATTCGCGAGCCGGGCATTATCCTGGGACGGCGGGCAGGGCTGTAGACAATCCAACGCTAATCTACAATTTAACCGGCTTAGAATTGAGTTGCGAAATAAAAACTTAGAATACTTAGAATGGAACTGAACGTTGAAGACTATCGAGATAGAATGAATGGAATCATTCAGCATGCATCTGCTTTATCACAGTCAAAACTACTAAAATACCTACGCATGTACAGTATATGTATGTACATACATACCCGTAATTCCTACCCATACATCGCCACATTCCACCCCACATCGCGATGATAACTCGGCAGGAAGAACGACCTGTCCGTCTTGACCTTGTCAGGCGGCTGCAGCGACTTGGTGTCCACGGGGGGAGTCTGGCTGATGCGGTGGGTGAGGTCGCGATGTTCGACGACGCCGATGTCTTTTCTGGTGTCGTCAGTAGAAGCTCTAAAAAAAAATGAGAAGGCGGAAATTGTTCTGAGGAAAGGAATGAGATACGAACAGTGAGTCTTTATGCGGGGGATTGCCCTCATTGTAGACGATCGTCTTCCATGCTTCGTGGCAGTCGTTGATGAGGGAGATGGCGAATCTAGAAAATCATCATTAATAAACAAACAATTTCCATTTTCTTTTTCCCCAATTGGGAAATCCAGGGAAATCAACATACTCCTCCCCCCTAACCTCTCCACCCAAAGCAACGCTATTCTCAGGCTTCCCCTCCGGAACCTTATACACACTGAACCAGTACTTCATCGAGTCCAGAAAACCCGGCATGTGGCGGTCAACGTCGGCAATGTGCTCGAGTTTCTCGGCCAGCGGATCCGTGACGTCGATGGCGATCACCTTCCAGTCCGTCTCGCCCTGGTCGAGGATGGCGAGGGCGCCGAGAACCTTGACGGGCTTGACTTGCCCCGTGAAGCCGACGTCGCGGCCGATTTCGCATACGTCGAGGGGGTCGTCGTCGCCGGGGGCTTGGGTGTCGGGGTCGATGTGGGAGGGGTCTTCCCATGTCTGTAGATACATACATAAAAAAAATATCCAAGAAGATAGTGCTTAAGCAGGGGCTTATATACCTGCGGAAAAGCACCATAGTTCCACGCATACCCCTTATAGGGAAAGATATTCGGGACATAGCGCAGTTGACCCTTTTTAACATCCTGCTTGATGGGGGTGAGGAATTCGTCTTTTGCGATCTGGAAAGCACCCCACAATTCGTCAGATATATACAATATACACACAGGTACCTGTTGATGTAGTTGATGTGTGTTGGGGGTTCGCACCTCCATCTTCGCATTCCCAAACCGAGGAATCTCCACCACCATGTTCACTACCTGCCCCGCTTTGCCGCCGTCTGTGTATAACGGCACGTCGTGCCAGGGGGAGACGAGTTCGTGGTTTTGGTCGCCTTCGAGGTAGATGCGGAAGTCGGTAGTCCAGGGCTGGCCGGCGACGCGGGGGTGGTAATCAGCAGTAGCCATGGCGGATACGATGGGATAGAAGGAAATATCTTATCTGGATTATATATAGCACAGTATAAAAATAGGATTTATATTCTATGAATATCTATATAGATACAGCTTGTCGTTATCGTACATAGACCAGGGATAATACCTTTCTAACGGATGAAAGAAGGCATTACAGCGAATGACGTATGTACTGTATATAGTACGGCTCTATAGTAGAGTAGCTATTTGCACGCATATAATCCAAGAGATGGATGAAGCAAGTTAAAATATTGCTTTCGCCCCGATTGAGAAAATGAAGAATTGACAGACACGTGGAAAAAACGAAAAGAAAAGACTGGCAGCAAGTCATGTAAAACAGGTGAACAGGGTAGACATTATTCAACCGTGCTATCTTACTCCGTAAATTAAGGGCTTCTAGAATTAATTTTTAAAAAAAATTTATTTTAGTTATTTCTTTTTTTCTTTCCATGGAATATCGACAACCCCATGAAAAAAAAAGCTTAACGTAATCCACCACCGAGCTGCGCGGACCACCGAGCTGCGCGGCCACCACCTCGGCCACCCCCTATCATCGGATTTATCGCGATTTACCAACGCACCGCGTCATGGCTGATATATCAAAAGAAGGGCGTATGCAATTAGCACTTGAAGCCTATAAGAAAGGTCTTTTTCCATCAAAAACTGCAGCTGCCAAAGCTTTTGACGTGCCTCCAAGGACCTTTATGACACGTGTTAATGGGACTACTGCT